TATTATTACTATTGTTGTTGTTATTATCATTACCTGTTACTTTATTTATGATGATTATTATTATTTTTATTATCATAGTTATTGGATTGCACAATTTCACATTGAACGTTTGTTCAAAATGTGGAGGCTATTATTACTAATAATGGTTAGGTATGATAAGCGTATCATGGGCACTTACTCTCTCCTTTCCTTTTTCTGGCTATTTAATCCTAGAGTAGTTTCCCTTAGTTCCACTGCTCTATCTGATCCCACCAGAAGACCGGTATCAACCCGCACGAACGGCCACCTGTATTACTTAACATAAGACAATCATCTGTACAAACGGCCCCTCCCTATTTTGCGCTAATTTTGCATTAAAATCGCACTATGTAAGATGTACGCTTGTCTGAGATTGCTACTTTTCTCCTGGACAAAGGGTGGCGGTCTGGGATCATTTCGACTGCATCATATTACACGTATTATACTGGGCCGTCCTGCTCAGTTCCCCCTTTTGGTTCGTACAGTGCACAGCTTCTGCTGTAGTTTTATACTGTATATCACACTTCAAGACCAGTACCTATCATCACATACTAGACGGTCTTGCTCAGTTCTTAAGCTGACCTGTTGTTCAGCTTCTCCTGTAGTGTATACGGCATGACTTGAAGACCAGTAATTATCAACTTTAAAATGCCAGTAACTCCATTTTTAATAATAGTGAAAACAGTTCATTACAAAGAGTGAGCTTAAGAATAAGTCACATTTTCACTGTAAGAAAAAAAATGGAGATACGACAAGAAAGCACTGAGGTCGCGATATACTGGACGTCCAGCTTAGTTCTTCTGTAGGCCCGTACAGCTTCTCCTGTAATGTTCATAATGTTCATGGAGGTTCGCTTCTCGGCCTTTTGGCTCCGTTCAAAGGTGGTATCTGTTCTCAGCTTTCCTCCGGCCTTGTGCCCACTGGTTTAGCGAGGCGGATCCGGATACTGTCCGAGGCACCCGAGGGACGGAGAAATCTGCCCCTCTTTTCTATCGGGTGGACGGTTATCGTCTGCATAATACAAAAATATTTAAAAAATGTTCATGTGGGTTGTCCACTTTTCATGTTTTCGACCTAGTATGTGTGTCCTGCGCTGCTGGAGGGTGTGTTCCAGTTTGGTCCGCTACTCCATACTGACATTTCAAATTGTACAGTAATCGCAAAGATTCAAAGAACTTTGAGGCCACTTGTTGTTTTAGAAAGAGTTTCAAAGCACTTGCAACACAATAAGGTCATACAAGTGCTGAAGATTAGAGATGTTACAAAAGAGTAATGTGAGGAACGTGCACAACCAAGGGAGAAAAGATAAGGACGGCAGATGTTTGATACGAAAGAAGGAGCAAACCACA